CGGGGCGGACGGCGCCGAGCGGGCGGCCGCGCTGCGGGCTGCCGAGGCGGCCTAGCCGGCCTGGCGCGGCGGTGGGGGAGGCGCACTACCGGGTCGTCCTGGGGCCGTACATCTGCATCGCGGAGCTCGGCCTGAACAGAGGGGGCGGGTGTGCGTGACTTGTCTCCTGCTTGAGGAGGGGAGGGGGGCAGGCGGAGAGCCCGAGGGCGCGACAGATCACGGGAGGGAGGGGAGGGACGGGGGGAGGGCGGCGGGAGGACGGCAGCAGGATCGGTCCTCCCGCCCCCTGCCCCTCCCCCCCTCATCCTGGCAAGGCCGCGCGCCGGCCCCAGCCGAGGGGGCCGCGCTTCGCGCGGTCCGCGGGACGCCGTCCGACGGCGCCCGCACGTCAGTGAGGACGAGGGAGGGAAAGGAGGGAGGGAGGGAGGGAGGGAGCTGGGGAGGTCTGCGCCTCCTGGGGGTCCACGCCGCCACGGCGGGGTTCCCCGCAGGATCTCCGTCGGGACGCGCTCGGGGACGGGCCTGGGCAGAGGGAGGGGCGACGCTGGCCGCGGCCATGCTGCCCAGAGCTGTTCCCGACGCACGGGCGTGCCCTGGCATTCGACGAGCAGCTCGGGTGGGAGACCGGCCGCATGCTCCGCGTGCATTCTTCCTCGGCGAGGACCATCGAGGAGCAGCTTGGGTCGCCTTATTCGCTGATCGGCGAGGACCGTCGGGGAGAATCTTGGATCATCTTGCCAAGGGAAAGCGCGCGAAGCCGAACAAACATGCACGGGGCATGGACGTCCGAGAGGTGGCAGGTTGTCGACCCCGCTTGCTCGTGTCAAATTGGGGCCAGTCGCTCCTCCGCCTCGTCTTCGTTGCATTGTTCTTCTCAGGATTCGTTGTTGTCGTCCTCTTCACCTTCTCCTCCCTTGCTCCTCCTGCTCTTTCTGCTCCTCATGATTGTTCTTCTTATCTTTCTTCGTGGCATTATTCTTCTCATTCCTCGTCGTCGTCGTCGTTGTCACTCCTCCTCCCTGGCTCCTCCTCCTCCTCCTCCTCCTCCTCCTCCTCCTGCTCCTCCTCGGCCTTCGGAGGAGGCAAAGGCCCCCGTACCGCTACCTGTCCCTCGTTTTCCCCTCTTTCGGTGTCTCCTCGGCGGCCCCCGCCGCCACCGCTGCAGCCTCGCCTCGAGATGGGGAGTAGCAGCGGCACCGGCACCTTTTGGCGTCCCCACTTTCTGGCACGAACGAATTGGGTACGGAAAGAATGGGTACAACGCCCACCAGCAGTTCCTGCTCATTTTGAGCAGGACTCGCTGTCGGTGTCGCCGCGGCCTGTGTCCATTTGAGACAGGGGGCCGCCTGTCCAACAGCGGCCGCTGTTGGTTTGGGGCAACCTTTGTTGTTGGGCATTGTACCCACTCTTTCCGTACCCATTTCGGGCGTCCAAAGCTTTCTCCTCAACATCCGCCTCATTCGTCGGTCGCTAAATGTAAGTATTCTCGGACGCACAAGTCCTGATCTCTTTCAGGCGCCTGCCCACTTCAGGAGAGTCGAGTGGTCTCCCCTCCTCCCTCGTCCTCGGAAGGGCGAGCGGGCGAAAGCCCAATCAACTTGCAACGCCTTCCTGTTTCCTCTTTGCTACGGCAAGCCCTCCATGAATCACAAGCACACGGTGCATGCGTTCCATCGGTGGCGTCAGCCCGGGCGGCAAATTCGAAACCGTTCATGGTTGCCATGCACAGCAGCATCCTTGGCAAGGCGTTGGAAGCCTTTGAGGTACCGACGGGGCGACTGGTACCGCACGGCGTACCCACTTCTTCCGACCGACGGGTATCCCACTGAGCCCGAGGTGAGAGAGGTGAAGTCCGACTACTTCAACGCCCTCCAGAGCTCCTTCTACGTTTGCTGCTCCGGGTTCCGGGCGGAGAGGTTCAAGGAGCGCCAGGCACCGAGGGGCGGGGCTTCCCCAAGCGCTGGCGCTCGCCCGCTCACCTCCTCGCGCCACCGCTCGCCTGCTGTCCGCGCGCGTCCCAAGAAGGCAGGACACCACAGCCGGGCTAGTTTCGATTCCTTTAATTCGATTATATTCGACTTCGATGGCTTCCGATTCCGATTCGAATCGACTTGGGATTCCGATTTGAGTTCGGATTTCTCACTGGAGGCATACTAGCCTGCCGATGTCCGCATATTCCACTTTTCCCAACTCGGCTGCCGACTTCCGCCGTTCCAATTCATTCGATCGCCGATCCGACTTAACCGCCAGTCCCGGATGTTGAAGTATACCCCGCCCCGTAACGATTGAGCCAGTATTATTCTTGGGCAATACAGATTTGGTCGGGGACGAGGGGCGGCAAGGCCGAACTTGCTTATCGCGTGGGAAAGTTGCGAATCGAAGTTGCTCTCTTCTTCTGTTGAGTAGCAACGACTCCTATTGATTTCCTGAGGGTTCCCATGGATGTCCTAAGGGATCCGATGGATGTCCTAAGGATTCCGATGGATTTCCAACGGAATCCTATGGATGTCCTGAGGGATCCAATGGATTTCCGAAGGAATGCTAGGGGGTTCCTGAGGAAGTCTACCGGGTTTCTGCGGAATTCTACGAATGTCTTTGGGGATCCTATCGATGTCCTAACACATCCCATGAATTGTCTGAGGCATTCCATGGATTTCCGAAGGATTCTCATACATTCCTACACATATGCCATTGAACATGGTTTTTACATGTAAAAGACCTAAGTTTCCGACTCGTCTTGGGGTTCTTCGTCCTCGTCCTCTTTCTCCTCCTCCTCCTCCTCCTCCTCCTCCTCGTCCTATTGATTTCATTCCCTCATGAGTCCGAAGGATTTCGGAATGATTCTTAGGCTTACGCCACACCGCCGACCCCTTGTTTATGCCAATCTGGGGGTAGTAGAAGCTGCGAAGGGGTGAAAAGGCGAGTGATATTTGTTTGGTGTCTGTTCGCCGCCACCGCCAGAGGGTCTCGGGCAGTTCCGCGGGGGGGTCCGAGCGGACGGCGACACCGCGAGTTTTGGAGCCACTTGGGGGCCGTTTCGGAGCCTCTGGGGTGCTTCTTGGGGGTTCCTTGGGGCGTCTGGGCGGCCTCGTGAGGGCCTCTGGGGGCCTCTTGGGGCACTCTTGGGGCCCCCTGGGGCTCCTGGGGGCAGAAAGCTAGAGTTTCAACATGTTTGGTCGCCCTCTTGGGCCCCTCTTGGTGCCGTCTTGGAGCCCTCTTGGGCCGTCTTGGGGACCTCTTGGGCCGTGTTGGGGCCGTCTTGGGCCGTCTGGAGGCCGTCTTGGGGGCCTCTTGGGCCATCTTGGGGCTGTCTTTGGGGCCTCTTTGGCCGTCTTGGAGCGTCGGGAAGCCGAAAAGGCGGAAAAGCAAAAAACATCGAAAAACACTATGGAAAATCAACAATTTTAGACTCTTGGGGCCCTCTTGGGAGGCTTGTTTGGGACCTCGGGGGCCGTCTTGGAGACCTCTTGGCCCGTCTTGGGGCCATCTTGGGCGTCTTGGAGCGGTCGTTTGGCGTCTCGGGGCCTTCGTGGGCCGTCTTGGAGGCCTCTTGGGGGCTTCTTGGCCCGTCTTGAGGCCCTCTTGGGCCCGGAAAAGCCCCGTGAACCGCTCGTCCCGGCCGTGCTGCGCTCGCGCCGGACCCCCCCCCCCCTCCAAATCGACCGGACCGGGCTCCCGGGGGAGGGGTTTGGGGAGGGGGAAGCATCTCACACGCCGATGATCCCCAAGGGGTCGGCGGATTTCTATACAGGAAGTCCCACGGATTCCTAAGGATGTCCTAAGGAATCCTATTGATTCCGAAGGACAATATTTTAGGATTCCGAAGAATTTCTATACAGCGTCCAGGATCATCATCATGATCATCAGCATCAGCATCAGCATCAGCATCAGCATCAGCATCAGCATCAGCATCAGCATCATCGTTGTCATCTTCATCATCATCATGCTGAGAACTCCGGGAACACGTTTATTATCCCCCCCTGGTCCCCGAACCTTATTAACCCCAGGGGATTAGTATCAAGAGTTGTTGGTTATCGATTCGATTCTGGGCTCTCCTGCAAAAGGGGAGAAGGGCAAGCCAAGAGAAGGGCTAGTCCACAGAGAGGACACCAGAGGGGCACCGCTGCGACTCGAGATGGCTGCACCGATGGACATGAAATGGGCTACGTCTTCGTTGCAGCACGTGCGATAGCGGCACCAGGGGTCAGTTCTCGGGGCATGGCATGCCGACGCGAGCGCATCCAGAGACGAAGACTGGGCGAGATGCCGTGAGAGCGGTGGTGGAGAAGCGGTAGTGGAACAAAGAGGGGGGGGGGGGGGGCACAGGCCAAAACGAAGGAGGGAGCAGCCCGGGGCCTCTGGGGAGCTTCTGGGAAGGTCCTTCCTAAGATTTGGGCTCTGCCACGGCCAGGTGCGGCCCTGGACAGCGGGCGCGCCCCGTTCTGGCGCGGCCTCGCGGAGGCGAGTGAGAAGGGCGGCCCGTGGCCTGGCCTTGGGGCGCGGGCGTCGAAGGCCGTCCCCTCTGGCTGTCGCGGCTCTCCGCGGCGCCGGTTGTCCCCGCAACCACACGCGCGTTGCACGGGCCCTGTCGCGGCCACCCCGGGTGAGGGTTTCGGGGCGAGGCAGCCTTCGCAGGTGCGGTCGCTGCAGCTGCCTCGGTGGAGGCTGGTTGCCCGACCACGGCTCGCTCCAGTGGCACGCCTCGCGTCAGCGAGATCGCGTGCCGCTCGTGTCAGCCACGCGCAAAAGGGGGGGGGCAGGGGAAGGGGGGAGGGTTTCTTCGAAGCACCCCTGCTTCTCAGAAGGCGCGGGCCTTGCCCGTAAGCAGGGCCAGCGCTTTCTGAGAAGCAGCCTCCTTCTAAGAAGCAGTTCCCCCCACCCTACCCCCCTCGACGCGCCGCCACAGCACTTGCCACATCCCATGTCTAAGCATCCCAGCCCCATGCACATTCGCGGTTGTCGTCGCAGCTCCCGTCGCAGCCGTCGTCGGCGGCGCCCGCAGCCTTTTCTGTCCACAGGGCAGCTCGGCTTGGCCGCTCTGGTGGCCTTGGTCCACCAGAAGGTCGGCATGGCGGCTGAGCTCGATGGCGGGCTTGGCCAGGAGCCGGCCGTCGGAAACGCCTCCGCCTCGTGGCCCTTCCCCCTTGCCTGCCCGCCCCCGCCCCGTCCAGTCCTCCTCCGCCCGGCTTCTGCTCCCCCCCCTCCTCCTCTGCTCGCTGCTGGGTGGGCGGGGAACACGTCCACATCCACGGCCTGGCGGACCATGGGCCACGGGCCGCGACCCCCTGGAGGTGGGCCTCTGCATCCCGAGGGCGCCGCGCGCGGAACGCATCCACGCCCGGAGATCCAGGCTGCGAGGGCGTTGCCACGGCTGTGTTCGCCGCTCGGTGTCTTTCCCCATCCCTTTCCCCTTCTCCTTCTCCTTCCCCTCCGCCTTCCTCCTCCTCCTCCTCCTCCTCCTCCGCCTCCTCCTCCTCCTCTTCCTCCTCCTCCTCCTCCTCCTCCTTCCCTCCCTCCCTCCCTCCCTCCCTCCCTCCCAATCGTTGCCCCCGATGGGAGGAGTGCGACTCCCCTCCTGCCCCTCAGCCGCCTCTCCGTGGCCAGCCTCGGCCCAAGCCGGTTCGGCTCGCCCCAGCCGCCGCCCGCTTTGCCGGCGCGAGCAGTGGCTGCCCGTGGCTCGCCGGAAGCGTTATATACCATTGCGGGCTTCCAGATGCGAAAAAGCAGGATTCCCAGATCCCAGTCTGCTGATTCCACGATCGAGTGGCAGTCCATTCTCCTGCCCCATGCCAGCGCCACCGGCCTCCAGGACCGTCTCCCTGCCTCCCTCCGCTCAGAAGCTCTTGCCTGTCTCGCCTTGGATGCTGCAGGCTGTTCTGACTCGGCAGGCGACGGCATGCTCGGATTCTAGCTCGCGCGGCGGCGGCAGCGGCACGGACTTCCGCCGCTGCACCGCGCGATGCTGGTCGAGAAGCTGTCGCGAAGCCACGCCTTGTAAGCATAGCTGTCTTTCCCCCATTTGTTCGTTGGCTGTCCTCGTTCAGGCCCCTCTTGGCCGCGGACGAGATGCCGCCTGGCCTCGGCCAGGCCAGGATGGTGCCCTCTGCGCTGGCCGCTCGCCCCTTCCCCCGCCCCAGCCCTGTATAGGCCACAGGCAGAGCCTGCCCCCGACGCCCCCCGGATCCGAGCTCATGCCCGCACCTCCCGCGAGCGACGGGTGCACGGCCCGGCCCGAAGCCGGGGGGCAGACCATCTGGCCAGCGGGGGCCGGCCAGAGCGCCGCACCATGGCAGGGGCTCCTGCAGACGCCAGGGGCGCACGGACGCTGTGCTCCATCGCGCAGGCTCCTCCTCCGCCTCCTGCTCCTGCTCCTGCTCCTCCTCCTCCTCCTCCTCCTCCTCCTCCTCCTCCTCCTCCTGGCAGGGGCTGCTGCAGAGCCGACCAGCCCCGGGTCTGCACTGGCGCCCTAGCCGGTGCGCCCCCGACGGCGGGGGCGCCGCCGTGGCGTCCTGCACTCGTCCTGCAGCGCGTCTGGTGCCGCTGGCGGCCGCCGCCGAGCCTCCGCGCGCGTGCCGGGCTCGGGGGCGCCGCCCCTCCCGAGGGGCACACAGGCCCGGGCCGGGCCCCGCGTGGGCAGGCGGCCCTCGCCTGCTGGCCGCCCGCGCGCCGCCGGAGCAGAAGCGGCCCCGGCGGCGACCCCAGATCTCCAACGGCGTGGGTTTTTCGATCCTCGCCTCGCCTCGCGTGCTGGCCCGTCGTGCGTCCCTCTCTCCCCTCGCGCGTCCTCTCCTCGCTCCTTCCTCGGTGCTCGGCCAGCGGAGCTCACCGTGTGTGGCTCGTGTCGCTGTTTGGCTCCGCGTCCAGGTCTCGGGCCAGGCTTCTTGCTCGTACGGGGCCATGCTTTGCCGTGCCGTTCTTCCTTCACTTGGGCCTCTGGGGCTCCTTGTATCGGGCCCACGGGCCACGGAAGTGGGCCTGGGACGGAAGTCTTGCGGGGTGAAGGGGTCGAGACCTCGTCTGCCGCCGTCCTTCTTCCTCCTCCTCCTCCTCCTCTTTATCCTCCTCTTCCTCCGTTGCAGTGTTTCACAGTGTTTCCAACACGTACATTTTACTAGGCGCCTCGGCGCCCCTTTCCGCCGCGCCTGCGCCCCGAGGCTCTGGTCAGAACGCACCCCGGGAGAGGTCTGGGAAGCAGCGGTGTCGGTACCTTTCTGATTCCCAACTGGGAGCTCCGAGAGCACGCGCGCCCAGCACAGTTCACGCAGCTTCTTGGGTCGACCTGCAGATGCTGCTCCTTGGTCGTCCTCCTCGCTCGTCGTCTGCGGGCGGCCGGGGACGCGCGCGCGTGTGTGTGTGTGTGTGTGTGTGTGTGTGCGTGCGTGCGTGCGTGTGTGCGTGCGTGCGTGCGTGCGTGCGTGCGTGCGTGCGTGCGTGCGTGCGTGCGTGTGTGTGTGTGTGTGTGTGTGTGTGTGTGTGTGTGTCGATGTCCGAGTCTGTCCTGGGGATACACTGCAGAAGCTGGTCGTCGGCGACAGCATTGCCCATCCGACAGTGCAGCCGAACGTCTGGGCCGACGTCTGGGGCTTCTGAGAAGAAGGAGCCCAGCTGGCTCTTGGCCTCGGCAACCCCGATCCTTCACAAGCTATAGTCTCTGCCGGCGGCATCACGTTTGGTGGGCCTGTTTTCCACCACCACCATCATAGGTTGGAGGGAGGAAGGAGGTGGAGGATGAGGAGGAGGAGGAGGAGGAGGAGGAGGAGGAGGAGGAGGAGGAGGAGGAGGAGGACCCCCTCCCCCTCCTGCTCCTGGTGGTGGCGGTGGCAAACAAGCCCACCAACGTTCGGCGCAGGCGAGTGAGAACGCATGTGTGGTGATGTCCGCGCGCGCCTTGTTCGCCAGGCGAGGGGCGGTGTGCGCTTGGCTGGGCGGCGCCGTGGGGACCTCCCGGAAGGCCATCCATCAAGCATTGGCGAAGCGTCTTGGCGTGCCTATAGGCCTACCGAACAGTGGTCTAAGAACCTTTGGTCGTTTCACGAATTGTTCGTAGAACATTTCTGGCTGGGACTGTCTTGTTTTACGAACATTGTTGTGTTCTTAGAGCACTTGTGGGTTCTAAGGACAGTTCGTGGTAGGACTGCAGGAATGCCGGGACGGTCGGTCCCTGCTCAAAATCCAGTGGAGGCTCGTGCCAAGCAACACCCTGCTGGCCTCCAGGGTGCCCTGGGTTTCAATAGTTTTTTTTCTATGGAAGGCGTGACGCTCCCACGCCAAGAATCCACGGACGTCCTGGGGTCTCAGGGTTGTTGGGTTTCTCGTGGAAGGGTCCTTGTGGTCAGGCCCCCACTGTACTGCATCCTGAGAAATGTGGACGAGCAGGTCGACCGCCCCGGCATGGTGGAGATTTTTCCATGGATGGTGCCAATATGAGCGCCGAGTTTGCAGCGCTTCGATGCGCGGAGGCTCCGAAGCCCTCCTCCTCCCCCCTTCCGCAGTACATTATTTCTCTCCTCTCCATCCTTTCCGTCCCTCCCTCCTCTTTTCTCCGTCCTTTCCGTCCCCCACTCCTATCCGTTCCTCCTTCACCCCCTCGTTCCGTCCTCCTGCATCTTCTTCTCCCGCCCACCAGTAACCCCCCCGCCGCTTCCGTGCCCCTCCCCCTCCCGACCCTCTTTTCTGATCTCTCTCCTTCTCTTCCCCCTGCCTCCCGCTATCCTCCCTCGTACTTGATTTCCTCATTTGTACTCCATCGATCAGAGTATGACAGCAAACTCATACGGTGAATTGCACTCTGTCTCTCAAGGCCACATGATCTGATATCTGTTCTACGCCATTGTGTCAATGAGCTCGTCGTCAGCCTTTGCTCTCGGGTTCGGAGCCAGCGCGCGCCACGACGGCAGACCTCTTTGGTGCTGCAGTGCGCGTACTGTGTTTTTCTCGCTGGCCGAAGAGTTTTTGGTTGACGTCTGGTGGGGTGCGTCGGAGCTTCGCCGACGCGCTGCCGCCGTTCCGTGAGGAGGCGGCCTGCGCGGCCGGGCGCCTGGCGATGTTCGTCGTGGGCTGCCTCGGCTCGGCCTCCCGGAAGAAGGCCTCGGACGCCTTGGGCGTCGCTTTCTCGGTATCGTTGAACCGATCCCCATCCCCATCCCCATCCCTTTCGAGACCCCCACCAAACTACCTTCCCAGTTGAGGCCACACGCCTCGAAACACCGAAGGGAACGACCTATATCCCCATCTGGGGGGGGGTAAATCGGCCAGTGGGGCCCAGGCCACCCCGCTGGGGATGGGGATCGGTTAAACGATACTCACTTTCGGCGGCCACCGGCGGCCCTTGGTGGCCTCCGGCGGCTCGGACCCCGCCTGCCATACAGTCAACATATTGATGGTGCACGATCGACTTCCCAAGGGTACGCTTGCATTCTTGCTTCGTCGGTCATCTTCGGTCCATCCTCGAGCACCTCGAAAAGCGTCGGCCTGGGCGTCTAAGGCCCTCGCATCCTTGTCGCGCATCCTGACTATCAGTTTTGACTGCACTTCCTTCGCGTCCTGACAAGTTCTCTAGTGCGGGGCGTCCTTTCCGAGCACGGGCCCCAGGAAGCTTTTTTGCGGACCCAGACCATTCGGGCGCGCCCAAGAGGGAGGTCAGGAAGAGGAGTGGTGGTGTTCACCATGGCCCGGGCCATGGAATATCCCAGAGTTCACGGTCCTCTCTTCCTCTTTCAACCCGTTCTTTAACCTTTAGTCGGGCGTTTTCTTTTACAAGGTTAGTGCTCAAAAATAGGAACAATTATTATGGGGACGAGTTCTTGTTTTTTGAGCATCGTTTAGATGTTTTTTTTATAATTGTTCGGCCGAAATCCGCCCCTTCGGGGACACGCCCGACCGAACCCTGGCCCCCCCTCGTCCGCGCACAGGCCTGTGGCCAGGATGCGCGGCCTGAGCCCCTGCGGCCTGGCCCCCGTCCTCGGCGCAACCCGGACGACCCAGGGCACGGACTCCGCTGGACCAGCTGCTTGCGGCCGAGGGCACGGGAGCCGCGCGGGTCGAGTGGCTCCGGGCGGCGTGGGTCCCTCGCAGCCCCCCTCCCGCGCTGTGCGGGAGCGCTTCGGGCTTCTCTCGTGGGTCTCGGTCGGCGATTGCGGCAGCCGTTCCACCCCTTGCCCCTCCCCTCGTCTCCCCTTGCCTTCGCTTCCCTCCTCCGCCTCGATCTCCCTTCCTGGTCCCTTCTCCTCCGCCCTCTCCTCCGCCCTCTCCTCCGCCTTCTCCGCCTTCTCCTCCGCCTTCGCCCCCTGACCCTTCGCCCCCGCCCCCTTCCTTCCCCTCCGTTCCCCTTTTCCTTCTCCTTGGCGCTGCCCTCCCCCTCGTCCAACTCCTTCTCCGCCTTGCCCGCTTTTTTCTCGTCGGAAAACAAGCCTTTTTCTCGTCCAACTCCTCCTCCTGCCTCCCCTCCTCACTCGCTGCCCCCCCCAGTCTGGAGGCGGATGGCGAGGACGACGAGGAGGGGCAGGAGGGGAGCACGAGCAGCAGCGGTGGCAGGAGCGCACGAGGGGGGGGGGGGGGGGGGGCGCTTTCCCCCGGTGTCTCTTCGGCTACTGCTACCATGGCGCGCGTCGCCCCCCCCGGGGGCGACGCGCGAATCGAGAAGTCTTACATCACATGCTCCGTGGCGGGCGCTTTCTGGCCATACCGCTCGGGAAGCGGTATCGGAGGTTGGGGGGTGAGATCGAAGTGGAACGGAGAGACCCCCTACCGGGGAATCGATTTCGGTTTCGTGTTCGTGCCGTGCGGGCGGGCGAGGCGAAGCTGCGTGGGCGGGGGAGAGGAACTTCTCCTGTGGCTGGGCCGCGGCTGGACCAAAAGGTTCTCAGCCCGGCAACCGGTGGCGCGCGGTGTCCCGCCGGTGTCCCGCTGGTGTCCCGCTGGTGTCCCGCCCGTGTTCCGTCGTGGCGGGGCCGCGGCCAGACCAAAAGGTTCTCCGCCCGGCAACCGGTGGCGCGCGGTGTCCCGCCGGTGTCCCGCTGGTGTCCCGCTGGTGTCCCGCGGGTGTCCCGTCGTTGTCCCGTGGTATCCCGTGGTGAGATCGATAGTGAGATCGATGGTGAGATCGATAATGAGATCGATCATGAGACCGATAGTGAGATCGATAGTGAGATCTATAGTGAGAGATCGATCGTCAAATCTATAGTGAGATCGATCGTGATTTCGATCGTAAGATTGATAGTGAGATCGATCGAGTGGGATCGAGCGCGAGATCGATAGTGGAATCGATCGTGATATGAATAGTGAGATCGAAAGTGAGATCGATAGTGAGATCGATAGCGAGATCGATAGTGGGACCGAAGTGGGATGGCTAGTGAGATCGACAGTGAGATCGATTGTGTCCCGTCGGTGTCCCATCGGTGTCCCGTCGGTGGCCCGTGGTTTCACGTGCTGAAGAGCAACTCGAGAACAAGGCTGCCAAGAGCGAGCGGCAACGCAACGATCTCCACTGGCATCGCCAGAACGTCAACAATCACCACTGTTGCCCTTTGCTGGCCCCCTCCCCCCAACCTCCTTCTCACCCGCAGGGTGGTCGTATAGGTATTTCAAGACGGCTATACGATATGCTCGGGCCGGACGCACGCCTCCAAGGAGGTCATATGTAGTACTAGTATGTAGTCCGTCCTTGTGCGTCCCATCTCGAGAGAGAGAGGCCGGCGAGAAGCTCGGGCTCATGGGCAGCTGCTCGGAGGAGGACTTCGCGCACGTGCTGCGGCACCTCGAAATCCTCACGATGCAGAGGGCGGCGAAGCTCGCGGGCGCGCCGCCCGACGTCGCGGCTGCCGGCGGCCAGACCTGCAAGCAGGACCCCCCTCGTCCTCTGCCCTCTCTCGGAGGTCCAAGAGCCGCGTTGTCACGGACCGCGCGGCCACCTCGAAGTCCCAAGAGACCTCGCTCGGTCTGTCATCGCACGGTGTGGGGACCCTGGGGAGCCCGCTCGGCCGAGACGTTTTCATTGAACGGCCCGCGCCCCAAAGCCGTGCGGTGACCCCGAGCCCCCACCGAGCCGCCACGCGTTTCGGTCGCCACACCGTTTTGATGGGCCTGTCTTCCACCACCACCACAAGTTGGAGGGGGAAGGAGGTGGAGGATTAGGAAGAGGACGAAGAGGAGGACGAAGAGGAGGAGGAGGAGGAGGAGGACGAGGAGGAGGAGGAGGAGGAAGAGGAGGACGAAGAGGAGGACGAAGAGGAGGAGGAGGAGGACGAAGAGGTGGAGGATGAGGAGGAGGACGAAGAGGAGGAGGAGGACCCCCTCCCCCTCCTACTCGTCGTGCTAGTGGCGGTGGACAACGAGCCCACCACGTTCGGGGGGCCCCGGGCTCCCGTCGTTCGCTTCCTGGTGCTCGCTGGCCTCCTCTTGTGCCTGCGGCTGGCGCTGGTCCCTGATGTCAAGCAGTGGCGAAGCGTCCTGGCTTGCCTACAGGCCCACCAGATAATGTTATAATAACTTTTTCTGTAGTTAGCAGGAAATGTTCTTAGAACATTTCTGGCTGAGGCTGCCTTGTTTTAACAGATCGGGTTACTTTCTAAGAACACCTGTTTTGTTATTCGAACATTTGGGGGTTCTTGGAACATTTCATGGTCGACCTATCGGAATGCCCGGGACAGTCGGTCTCTGATCAATGATGGTCGTTCGCGTCTTCGTGCTGGCTTTAAGTCGGGCGTGTCCTTTCACAGGAGGAATATTCAAAAATATTCCAAACATCGTTTGGGGACGATGTTTTGTCACTATGTTTGACTATGTTTGCGTATTTGTTGGCTAGTGATGATTTTCCCCAAAAATCCGCCTGCAGGAGGACATGCCCGACCTGATGCTGGCCCTCCCCCCCGGCAGCCCTCCCTCGGCGTCACCCCAACATACTAATACTATGTGTGCGTCGCCCCCCCGGGGGCGACGCGCGCACCGAGAGATCCTATAGTATATGCGCCGTGTCGGGCGCCTTCTGGCCACACCGCTCGGGAAACGACTACAATCAGTGGATGGTTTTCGCTGAGGAGATCGACTGGGAACCCGCGAGCCCGGGAACCCAGAACCCACCGAAATCGGCCCGGAACCAATAACCGGGAACCCGGAACCGGGAACCCAGGAACCCAGCCTGCTACCAAAATCGGCGGGAAATTTTCGTCAAGTCTTTCAACTTCCGCTAGGCGCTAGGACCCCTAGCTTCAGTGATGTGCAAGCACTGACTGGGGTACTATATGTTCGGGTCCTCCAAGGAGGACGTAGTATGCCTCTGTGCGTCCCACTCCCGTCCCTCCCCGAGCGAGCTCCGATGCGGCGTGCCCTGCCTCGCCGGCGCGAGGCGCGCAAGGAGGGCGCCGGCACATGCCGCCCGCGCCCGGTACCGTGTTCGCGGCCTCGGCTCAGAGCCACGGCCTGCGCGCGCCCGAGCTCCACCGATTCTCGGCAGCTCAGGCCTCCTTCCCCCCCTCCTCTTCCTCCTCTGGGCCTCCTAGATGGGGTCGGAGTAGTTGGGGTCGGAGGATCGCGCCGCATCGCCGATGCATCGCCGATGCGGCTCGATGTGGAGCCCGATGTTCCCCACGCCGACGTCGCGGATGCGTCGCCCACGTCGCCGGTGCATCGCCGATGCATCGCCGGTGCATCGCTGATGGCATCGCCGATGCATCGCCGATGTAACGGCAATGCGGCGCGATCCTCCGACCCCATCTCTTCCGACCCCATCTAGGAGGCCTCTATACATAGGGAAACGAACAATGACACAAGCATAACAAATCGGAGGTCCGCGCGGGTTCCTCGCATCCGCGCGGACCTCCGCGTTTGTATGTTTATGTCATTCTTCGTTCCCCATACAGCATTTCCATCCGCTCGAGTGCGCCCAGTGTCCAGCGCGGCCCGTCGACTCTGCAGTCACGCTCGCGTCCGCCAGCGCTGCGAACAAGAAAGTTGGTCGCGGTTGCCTCGTCTGCAAACGGACCGCCGCCCTGTAGTTCTTTCCCTCCGCGTTCAACGCCACCTCTCCTGAGCCTCCTCGCCACACCAGGGATGCCAGTGCAAGACACGCGTTGGAGCCTCGAGCGGCGTTTGTCCCGGGCAGCGAAGTCAATGTTCGGATGCCGCGGAGACCCCCCAACGGTGCGGTGACCACACTGCCCGGTGAATCAGTGGGAATGCGGGGGTCACCGCACTGTTTTGGGATTCGAGTCGTTCTCCAGGATGTCTCGGGCGACTGGGGCTTCAGGGTCCCAAAGCCGTGCGGTGACGGACCGTGCGGTGAGATCCTTCGGAACTTCGAGGTCACCGCGCGGTCTGTCACCTACACGGCTTGGGTTTGAGACCCCCCAGAAGTTTTCTTGGCCGGGGGAATTCCTGGGATTCCCAAGGAGGACCCCGCAGCCCCCATGAGCATTCTTCACGGGGCCCAGAACCGTCCTCTGTAAGTCATCTAGTTTGGCGCCAATGCGTTCGCCTACTATGGTTAAATCCAGTTGGCGGCAAGTTGCACTTCGATGCCTCAGGTCTGATTTGCAAAAGGAAATGATGAATGCCGAGCCCCATGTATCCAACACTCGCGAATACGGCTACGTACACCCTATTCGTGAAAACCCATTTTTCCGAATACGCTGCTCTGTCGCGTTCGACCTCGGATTGTGATTGTGTCGCGGACCTGCGCCATGCCGAGTCATGTCGCCAGGAAAACAGCCGAACCATTACATGTTGGCACGCTGCTACACTTGTTGCAAGTAGTTCCACGGATCTGTAACAGGTTCGATGAGTAGCGAAGTCTGGGCCATCGCAGCCCGACTGGTCTGTTGCGTTGGAAAGCCCACGTGGTTCTAGCAGGTTGCCTGGCATACATCGCGTTTACAGACACGCGCCACTCGCGATAAGGGGGTCTTGGTTCCTCCTGTGCACAGTAACTTTGGTTGAGTTCTGCAGCATTCCAAGGAAGTTGTTAGGGAGGGATCCAGGGCACACTTCAGGCTGAATCGTTTTGCCCACGTGTCGCTCATCCCCCCGTTCGGCTGGGGGAAAATGATGAGCATTCGAGGCCGTCTTTGACACGGGCCACGGGCTCATTGCAGGAAGGGGCGTCTCAGGGGCCACATTGTTGCGATCCCAGCGGGCCCGAATCGGAGGAGGGGACGAAGCCAGATAGCGTGGATCTTGGAAATGTAAAAGAGGAGGGGCATGAGGGGGAGGAAGAAGGGCATGAAAAGGGAGCGGGACATTCTTTCCGACCTCATCGCTTGGTTCCCTCCGTCAGGAGCCGTTCTGCTGCAGCCAGACGTTCCTTGTTGCGCTCTGCAGCGCTTGCGGGATACCCGCTGTCGGGGCTGCCGAGGCACTCTCGGAGGTGCTCTTTTGTTCAACATCGGCTTCTTATAAAAAGTGGCCGCGCTCGGTGTTTGCCCCCTCACCTGCATGCACGTCTTGCCCCTTTGGTCCCCCAGCCAAGAGCAGATAGTGCGGGTGCACATAGCTGTAGTGCATATCGTGAACAAGTCGGACGCAGCATAACGCAACAGCGCCCCGAACCGGCCAGCATGCGTGTGACGAACAGTGCACACGAGTGACAGTGAGCGGAGACCGTTCGCTCCGACATTCTCCCCGAGGCCCTCGGCAGGCGTTGTCTGCACGCAGCTGTGCCAAAAGAAGCGTGAGGCGCTGCCGAGGCTTTCACGTCTTGGTCGGGGCAGCCGCCGAGCAAAGGGGTGAGCAGCGTGCGGGAGAGGGGAGAGCGCAAAAGCAGCAGTGTGTTGACGGGCAAACCGTCAAGGAATGGGCGACAAGCGGCGCCGTGGCCAGCCGGAGGCTCGTGGGGAGAGGGGCGTCCGCCGTGGTGCAGGCCAACGCAGGAGAGGGGAGTGCAGCCGTCGCAGTCGCACGTCCGGGGTGGCCCAGTCGAGCCAGAGACCGCAGTGACGCGAGGGAGCCAAGGGCCGCCTCGGGAGTGGGGGAAAGCAGTGGCCAGAGGTCAGTTGGAGCCGCGCGGTGGCAGAGTAGTAAGTGATAAGGTGCACCAAGGCCACAGATCGATCCACGAATGAGGGTCAGAGGTCGCGGAACAAAGCGACAAACATGTTGTGTGTGGAGTGGGGGTAAACGTTTGTTCTACAATATTCCTTTCGTTTGATCGTTTATACACCTCTATTTGTTTGTTCTCTCTCTCTCTCTCTCCCGTTCTCTCTCTCTCTCTCTCTCTTTCTCGCGCGCACGCGCGCACACGAGCAAATGTCACTCGCACATTCCACACCACTCTCATACGCATATCTGACGAAAATGTGTGGTTCAACACGAACTTGAGAGATGTGCCTCATCCTAAATCTGCACCTATGTGTTTACGCTTGCGTTGTAGTAATGCCTCTTGTACTAGTCTGCCGGACACCTGAAGGGAGGAGGTTGCAGGGCAAGGTCTGCAACGGCATAGCGTGTTGTTGGAAAGGAAAGTGAGAGTTGTGTAGGCCCCTTGAGTTCCACTCAGGGGCTCCCATGGGGTAAGTTTGAAAGCCTTTGGTGGCTGTGTTGGGGCTCTCCCCTGTGGATCCCCCCTGGACCCTTGGTCCTCCTCGTCGTCATCCTCCTCCCGAGGGGCATTAACCCCAGCCCAGCGGAGAGTTGTGATTTGCTTATCCCTCGGTGAGCGAAGTCCTATACGAGACTGCACAGTGCGTGGTACCCGTCACCTTGGACCCCAGGGATTGCGATTGTGCGAGGTGTCGCTTTCAGTCGAGCTTGTTCGTTCGACTCAGCAGGTCAGACGATGCGAGCACACACGCAAGGCCGAGTCTCCTTCTTCTTCGCAGTGTGAGTATTAGTATTATTTGTATTAGTATTGCGTTTTATGTGTGCTCTTATTGTTTTTCGTATGCGTATTACCTTATTAGTTTCCTTATGTGTCCTGCTCCTCCTCGTTACCACCATCACCCTACCATCTCTCCTTCCCGTCCCCCGCACCAGGGTCCTCCTACGATCTCTCGCCTTCGCCCCGCTGGGAAGGCGGACCCCTGGCCCAGGACTGGCCCAGCCCAGGGTAGCTGGCGCACAGCTCACGGGGCTCCACTCGAGGCCTCCGCGAGGCCTCCGTGGGCAATCAGGGGGCTTTCTGGGGTGCGTCTTCGGGCTGTCATCGGAGCTTCTTGGGCTCGTCTTGGGGGCCTTTTGGGCCCTCTTGGGGTTGTTCTGTGCTGTCTTGGGGCTCTCTGAGGGACTTCCTCGGTCACCTGCAAAGCAACATTGGGGGCCATGTTAGCTGTCTTTGACGCTGCTAAGAGCAACTGGGCACGAATGACAAGCTTGCACGGAAATCTATCATTCTTCAACAGTTTACGCCTCTCGGAGGCTTTTTGGAAGGCCTATCGGAGTTCTTTTCGGGCAGTCTTCGGCCGCCTTGGGGACCGTGTTGGGACCGTCTTTGTGGCCTCAGGGAAGAGACACAGGGACCATGACCAAGATGTCGCGGGATCTTGTCGATGCCGATCTTGGTCGTGGTCTTTGTCGGCCTTCGCCCATCCGCGAGGATGATCCACGAATTGACGCTGAACTTGATCAACCGTTTCCGCGTGCAGCCTTGGTCATGGTCCCCGTTTTCTCCTCTTCCATCCCCCAGCCACCAGCGGTCCCCGGAGGCCTCTGGAGGACTGCGCAGTCCGGGAACACCAGAAAACGCATCGGGTCGTGTTCTCGGACCCCGATCCTTGAATTCTCTGGACTCGTCGCAACTCCTCGGAGGTTCAGTTCAGCACTGGTACTGGCGTGTCCGCGGTCCTTAACCCTCATACTCCGCCCTAGTCCCACCGAGTCCAGCTCAATCCCGCCTACTCGGGCTTAATCATGGGCTCCATATGGCCTGTTCCCGGTCAATGGCCCCTGTCGTAATAGCAACCTTGTTCCCACGAAGACCCCCCAGGAGTTGCCCCCTGACTCCCGAGCAGGGCCCAGCGACCTCTGCGAGGCGCGACCGCCCCGGACCGTCCTGGGGCCCAGGAAGGGCCCCTGGATGCCGAACTTAGCCACAGCGTGCCCGTCGTGCTTTTTTTTTGGAAGAAGAGAACACGCCACAAGCATAGATGTTTGGCGATCAGCACGGCTCTGTCGGATCCGCGTTGGGGCCCCCCGGCGGCGCCTCCGACGCCGCCCCTGGCGCGCTCCGCGAGCCCGGGAGCGGTGCGCAGCGCAGCTCCACGAAACCCGCGCGGAGAGCCGAGAGTCTGCGCTCATGGTCTTGTTGCCCTTCTTCTTCTGCTTTTTCTTCTTCTGCACGACGCGAGGACGTCAGGGAACTTCGCTCCTCGGTGCTCCTCGGGAGGGCCGCGCGGCTCCCGCGCCTTGTGCGGCCGCCGCGCGGCGGCCGCGGCGCCCTGCCCCCGAGGTGTTCGGCCGCCTGCCGCGCGACGCGAGCGGGCGGGCCGACCTCCTGAGCGTCTTCGGCATGGAACCGCCCGCCGCCGCCCCGGCCGTGGACGGCGCCGCGTGCGCCGCCTTCCCGGCCGACTACGCGGGAGGGGCCGCCCAAATCTTGAGTCGGGCGTGTCCGTCGACAGCTGTGGAGGACGATCAATGGTCAAGCAGTGGCGAAGCGTCCCGGCTCGCCTGTAGCCCTACCAAACACATGTTCTAAGAACCTTTTGTGGTTTGCACGAAATGCTCCTAGAACATGTCTGGCTGGGGCTTTCTTGATTCAACACATCGGGTTTATGTTCTAAGAACATTGTTTTTGATCTTAGCACATTGCTGGGTTCTAAGAGCATGTCGTGGTAGGACTATAGGAATGCCGGGACGGTCGGTCCCTGCTAAAAATCGAGAGGAAGCATGTTGCCAAATAGTTTCCAGATGTCTAAAACATGTCTCAGACATGGTTTAAACATGTCTTGCAAATGCTTAAAGCATGCGTTTAACATTTCTCCTGCACATCAAACACATGTGCAATTCGATGATAGGATTGGTAGGGCATTCATTGTCGTGGCATCCACAAGCCTACAGGAGGAATATCTAAACATTGTAAACACAAATAGTCTGGGAACGATGTTTCTACGATTCGTTTTGCGTATGTTTGACTGTTCTTTGGGTATGTTTAATTGTTCGTCCGAATTCCGCCTGTCGGGGGGGCATGCCTGATCTAAACCAAATCATCGAGCCGAGTAGGGGATCGACTACATGATTAATTTACCCCGGAAGTTGTTTCTTTGTCCGTCGAGTGTACGAAAAAATACATAGACTCTTCACTCGGTCGAACATTCTACGCACGTTTCGTAGATTTGACGGAAAAGCCAATGTTCGGGTAAATCCATCCTGTAGTCGATCCCCTACTCGAAGTCAAGGGCAACGCCAGTCAGCCGGTGGTTCAGAGATGGGAATTTGAGGGCTGGGGTCCTAAGGATAGGAAGGGCCCCCATGTCGGATTCACACGGTTTGAGGCTCCTCGTCCTTGGGGTCCCATCTTTCATGGCCCCAATTTTGAATTGCCGAGCCAAGGGCAATTGCAGTCGCCACGAAGCAAACGGGTCCTGAGGTCAGTGGCAGGAGCTGAGACAACCGTTGGGTGGCCTTCGGGGGCCCCCTCGTCGCCACGGCTGGACGCAGCTCGCAGAACTGTCGGATTGTTGTCCGTTCTCGGGCCATGGGGGTTTGACGGGCCCTGGTGCAGTCAGACATCATTCACGTTTCAGGAGGAAGCCTCGGGGTCCATGACCCGTTTCCTTCAGGTTTTTTTGGTCTGTCATGCCAGCGGAGAGGGTCCGACTGGATGGTGTCAGGAGATGTACCGCCTTGCCGATGCATCGGCGATACGGCCCGATTTGACGCCCGAATTACAATCCACGCTGACATCCCCGATGCATCGCCGACGTCGCAGATGCATCGGCGATTCGGCGCGATCGCCCGACCCGGTCTGCTCGGACCCTGTCATGGGAGGCCGAGGTCCTGACGTGTTTGCCTCGTTGTTTTGGACATTTAGGTGCGCCCTCGTGGCCACGGCTGGATCCGAGTCGAAAGTCTGATCAGAACGCACCGCTGCACAGGTCTAGGCGCGCCGTTTCGCGGCCGAGAGCACAGACCTTCAACGCCCTGGAGCAACGAGCAAGGCGGAGCTGTTTCTCCTAATTAAGCAGCGGGCGGCTCCCTACAACTCTTAGAAGACATACATAAGGCATCGGTCGCTCTGGAAGCCCGTGGGGCGTGGCGCGCAACATAAATGATCCAAGAATGCCCCTCCCCCTCGGGATCGAGCACCACCACCCCTCCCCGGTAGATCGGTACGCCCGTGAGTCTCGCGAACGCCTTGCACATGTGATCGCTCCCCCTCCCGGTGGTCGTGGCCCTGTGAGCGTGGTGCGGTGCAGGGTGCTTGTGCATTTCCCCACCCCCGGTGGGTGTGGGGTGATTCGTCGTCGTCGTCGTCGTCTGCGTCGTCGTCGTCGTCGTTTGGCGGCGGCGGTGGCCTTCGGCGTTGGCGTCGGCGTCAGTGTCGGCGTCGGCGTCGGCGTCGGCGTCGGCGTCGGCGTCGGCGTCGGCGTCGGCGGCGTCGGTGTCGGTGTCGGTGTCGGCGTCGGCGTCGGCGTCGGCGTCGGCGTCGGTGTCGGCGTCGTCGTCGTCGGCGACGGCGGCGTTCTCGTCGTCGTCGTCGTCGTCGCTGTTGTCGTCGTCGTGATCGTCCTCGTCCTCGTCGTCGGCGTTTGCGTTGGCGTCGGTGTCGGCGTGGGCGTCAGCGTCGGCGTCGGCGTCGTCGTTTCCGCCCCCATCCCATGTGGGGGGGAGGGGCCTGCGGATCACTGGGACCCATCCCATTTTGGGGGGTGCCTGTGAACCCTCGACCCGTGATCATATATGGCGTGACCTCCAGTAATTGTAGATGGGCTGGTGAAGCCGCGGTTGTGCAGCCCGCGCGGGGGTCTGGCGCAGCCCGTGGCGCTTAACGATTGCGGCGCAGCCGATGGAGTGTAGACAGCCAGGGGAAGTCACGATGCGGTTGGGGGAATGCGCCATATGTAATTAGTCTACCTGAGTTTGTTATAGGTATCGTCGTGGATATGGATATGATCTACACATGCATGCGTATATCAATGTCTATGTATGTGTGTATGAATGTATGTATGCATGTACATGTATACATATATATATATAGGTATAGACGCGCACGTATGTACATAGTTATGTATGAATGTATGTATGCATGTATATGTGTGTGCATGTATGCATGTGTGTATGTAGGTCGGTAGGGAGATGGGTAGGCATGTATGCATGTCTGATACGAACGTATGTATGCATGTATGTATGTTTGCATGTACGTATGTTTGTCTGTATGTATGTCTGTCTGTCTGTCTGTATGTATGTATGTATGTATGTTTGTATGTGTGTAATTATAGATGTGCATATGTATGTGTGTGTGTATGGATGCATGTATGTGTGTATGTATGCATGCATGCATGTATGTATTGCAATGTAATGGAATGCAATGTAATGAAATGCAGTGTAATGGAATGTAATGTGATGCAATGCATGTGTGTATGCATGCAACCATGTATGTACGTATGCGTTCATACATGCATCCATGCATGCATGCATGTGTGCCTGTTTGCATGTATGCATGTATGTAGGTAGGTAGATAGGTAGGTTGGTAGGTAGGTAATGCGTTGCATGGCAATGTAATGTGATGTAGTGAAACGTAATGTAACGTAACGTAGCGTAGCGTAACGTAACGTAACGTATGCATGCATGCATGCATGCATGTATGTATGTAAGTATGTATGTATGTATGGATGTATGTGTGTGAGCATGTATGTATGTATGTATGTATGCATGCATGCATGCATGCATGTATGTATGCATGCATGCATGCATGCATGCAGGTATGTATGTATGTATGTATGTATGTATGTATGTATGTATGTATGTATGTATGTATGTATGTATGTATGTATGTATGTCGGCGGTGCGCCGTGGCACGAACCCCCCCCCCAGCACTACCGGGGGGTTTCGTGCACTACCGGGGGGTTTCGTGCAGCCCGCACCGGGTGCCGCCAGCGGCTTAGAACACCCCCCCCTTGCCGCTTTACCGGGGGGGTTCGTGCAGGCCGCACTGCGTCTACCTGGGCTCCCCCCCCCCCCTGTGGGAGTGGGGGGGTGGGAGTGGGGGGTGGGTTGGGGGGGGGGCAGGGGGGCGGTTGGGAAGGGTGGCTCCCTGTCGAAGTGTGGCGTGTGCTCGCCTTGTGTTCTCTATTCGCGTCTGCTCGCCTTTGTTCCGCCGCAGCCTCTCGTATTGTGGCTCGTGGTCACAATACGAGAGGCTGCGGCGCAACTCCCGAGAGCCGCTGTGGGGGGTCGACGGCACGGCCGCGTAGAGAAGAACAGTGCCGCCGTGTTCCGGCACGGCCCTGGGATGCAATGCCGCCGCCGTGTTCCAGCCCGTCCTGATAAGATTCGCGCGTCGGGGCTGGGTTTCGCGCGTGCTGGGAGCGCGCCGCTTACGGAGGGGTTGCGTCCTTACCGGGGGGTTTCGTGCAGCCTACCAGAGGAGGTCGTGTTTACCGGGGGGTTTCGTGCAGGCTCGCACCGGGAATGGCGCCAGCTCGAAACCCCCCAGGAGAGATTACCGGGGGGGGGTGTCGCTCCGCACCGGGCACCGCCGACATGTATGCATGTATGTATATATGTATGTATGTATGCATGTATGGATGCATGCATGCATGCATGTATTTATGTATGTTTGCATGTATGTATGTGTGTATGTGTTCCTACATGTACGCATCCAAATATGTTCGTAAGGGTTTCGCCCCCCGCTAGAGGCCCCTAAGGGCCGAGAGGACGACGAGTGAGAGGAGGAGTCGGATGAGGAGGAGGAACAGCAGCCTGGATGGATGGTGGCCTCCTCCTTGTTCCCCTCCCCCTCTCTTCCCCTCTTCGGGGTTGCTCCTCCTCATCCTCCTCCTCCCTCCCCCCTTCTAGGGGCGGACTGAGGACGGCCGACGCCGCTACGAGTGAGAGAGAGGAGCAGCGGCGGGAGCAGGAGGAGCGGGAGGAACGCGACGAGCAGGAGGACCCAGGGAAGTCGGATGAGGATCTCTCACCTCTCGCCCTCCTGTTTGTGAAGGGGGGAGGGGATTTGAGCAAGGGCGGTGGTCGTCCTGGCTCTTGTGCGTTGCCACCTCGTCATTCGTCTTGACCGCCCGCGTACGGGCTCGTGCGAGGGCGCACTGACGCTGCGGGCGAAACGGCGCCCCCACGGCTTCGCAAAGAAGAAGAATGCTAGAGCGGATGAGGGGGAGAACGGAGGTGCGGCAACGACGAGGAAGGCATCGGATCCAGAAATGTGGCCCGCACGGGGGCCAGAGCGCCATGGTGAGCGGCGGGGGTGAATCGCCGATCCTGACATGTGACTACGGTTGCAGCAGGAGTTGTTTATTGAAGGGCCGAGAACGTCTTGGTTGAACCAGCACTTGTTTTTGTTGGCAGCGCTGGCGGTCGCAGGCCTGTCTGAACAGAGCCGGCGGGCCTCCCCGGGCGCATGTTTCCACCCACATTTGCAACACAACACATGATGGTCTGGAGTTCGAGAGCCAAATTTGTTGTGCCCCGTCCTAGCGCCCCCCGAGGAACTCAGGGTAGTGGGAAGATGGGGGACAAGGACAAAGATGAGGATGAGGACGAGGATGGGGACCAGTGCGAGCCCAAGACGCATCAACGCATCAACGATGTTGTGATAGACCCTCACTCCAAGCTCCTACTTCATATGTCCCTACCAGAATTTCTGTTCATTGCGGGAAGCGCCCCATTGAAAGACAGCAGTCTCAGAGTCCCCAGTCCTCCCAGAATGCAGTTCTGGGGACTTCAGCACCGCGAATTAACATGATTGTTGCGGCTTGGCAATGCGAAGTCGTTCCCAAACACCCTTCCTTGCATTCCAACCAACACCACGAAACAACGATGCCATTGCGCGTCCCAGGAATCCTAAATCGTGCCAGAGAATCATTCCTGGGACTTCAACCGCACGAATTCTTTGCACGGTTACAAATGTTTAAAAAGAGTGTGCGCGGCGCTACGGTCAGAGCCATGTTTTGAAAAGGAACCGTTCTCCATCCCTGAATCCGTTGCACGTTTGTAAGACGCATGTGCGCGGCGCTAAGGCGAGAGACACATTTTGAAGCACAACCGCCATCCATCCATGAGACTGCTGCAGAATATAAGGTGCATGTGCACGACGCGAAGGCGACAGCCATATCTTTTCCAAACCACCCGCATTCCATCCTTGAAGCTGTGGCAAATTGTATGGTAAGCTTTGAAAGATATTGTGCGCGGCGCTACGGTGGAAGAAATTTGTTGAACACGACCCGCCTTGCATCCGTGAAGCCGTTGCAACTCTCAAGCTTCAGGATCAAAACCCGTGGGGGGTTCTCAAGCGAAGCGCTCGCCCCGCCCTACCGACAGTCCGGGGGGTGCGACAGGGAGGGGTCATGTATAAGGAAAAGGGATTGAGGAGAAGGAGGAGGAGGCCACCCCTCGGAACACCAGTTTTCGAAGGTGCGAGACCGCTTCCACCGAAGACCCTCAACCCTCAGGACAAACAGCAGACACTGCGAAGGCACCTCCTGCTGACGCCGCCGCCCCCTCCCCCCCACGAAGGTGGAGCGGCCGGCGGACCTGCCCCCCGCGTCGGACGACGACCTCGCCGAGGCGGAGCGCAGGCTGCTGGAGGCCGAGGCGCTCCCCCACGGGCCCGAGGGAGGGCCGCCGCCGCCGCCCCCCAAGGGGGGGGAGGGGGGGCAGGCAGGCGGAGCACGTCGAGGCTTCGAGCGTCGAGGTCTCGACAGGGGCTCCTGGGAGGCCGAGGCGCCTCGCAACGGGCCCGCGGGAGTGCCGCCGCTGCCCTGGGAGAGGGGGGGGGGGGCGCGAGGATCGAGCTTGGAGGCTGTTCGAGGTTCGAGCCTCGAGGTTTTGCAGTGCTAACCCGTGTTCAGAATCAACACCCTGCTTGCCTCCAGGGTGCCCTGGGTTTCTTGGGTTTCGATGGTTTTGCCATGGAAGGCGTGACGTTCCCACGCCACAGATTAATGGACGTCCTGGGGTCTCAGGGTGGGGTCTCTTGTGGTCGAGCTCCTACTATAAGGGCTTGGGGCGTTTGTCACTCTTTCTGAGGTTTCCTGGAGCACCCACGTCGCCACGGCTGGATTCGACCCGCCCCGAGATGCTGGCCAGATCGCACCCTAGAACAGGTCTGGGGGTGGAAGGCCCACAGCAGTCCCTCTCCATTTTGAGCCGGAGTCGCTGTCGGCGTCGCCGCGGGCGTTGCCCATGACCATTGAGGACATTTGTCGCCGGCCCAGCAGCGGCCGCCTGACAACATCTGCAGTTGGGAAACTCTGGACGCCCGACATGGGTACGGAAAGAATGCGTACAATGCCCAACTGCAGTTCCTGTTCATTTTGAACAGGGATTGTTGTCCACGCCGCCGCGGCCTGTGTCCATTAGAGACAGACGGCCGCCTGCCCAACAGCGGCCGCTGTTGGTTTGGGACAACATTTGTTGTTGGGCATTGTACCCATTCTTTCCGTGCCCATTTCGGGCGTCCCAAAAAACGTCCCCGCCCGTCTCAGACCCTCTCGCGCGCGGTAAACATCACGGCGGATTGTATCTGGCCATTTACAGCCCCCAGGGGCCCGAGGATCCCGAGGATCGATGCTTCCTGTAGCGGCTTCACGCCCTCGGCTGGACCTCCGCGGAGGCCCTCTGGAGGCCGGGAGGCCCCCGTGGGGGGGGCCTCTGCCCCCGGAGGCCTCCCGGGGACCCCCCCGCCGCCGCCGTCGCGCGGCGGGCTCCGCGGGGGCGGCGGCGGAGGCCCGAGGAGCGGGAGGGGGGGAGGGGGGGCGGGGCCAGAGGAGCGCGGGGGAGAAGCGCGCGGGGGGGAGGGCGAGGGCGAGGGCCGAGGAGCGGGAGGGGGACCGCGAGGGCGAGGCCCGAGGAGCGAGGGAGGAACGGGGGGAAGGACGGGGAGCGCGAGGGGGAGCGCGGGGGGGGGGGGACGGGGAGGGGCAGGGGGGAGGGCGAGCGGCTCGGATGGCTTGCTGCCCGCGCCCAGACAGCGGGCCCGCGTGCGATGCTCGGCCGGCGCGAGCAGGAAAGGGGTAGCAGCCAGCAGCGGCAGAGGAAGGATGAGCTGGAGGCGGCGGGGAAGGGGAGGGGGGAGGGCGTGAGAGGGGGAGCAGGAGGGGGCGCAGCGGCAGAAGCAGGAGGGGGCGCAGCGGCAGAAGCAGGAGAAGATGAGCAGGATGGACAAGAGGAGGATGGGCATTGGGAGGACAAGGGCGAGGGCGAAGATAATCAACCTCATAGTCACAACAGTTGCGCATGATTACGGCGATGGTGATGAGGGGGAGGATGATGATGGGTAACAATGATGGTAATGAGAGGGAGAAGGATGAGGAGGAGGAGGACGAGGAGCAGGAGGAGCGGAGGAGCAGAGGGAGAGTAGGATCGGAGGATCGGAGGATCGGAGGCGCGGCGGATAGTATAGTGGATGTGGACATGGTTGCAGATGTGGCGATATGTATAGAATGAGGCCCCTCTTCTTCTTACCTCCTTATGGGGAAGACGAGGGCGGTGGATATCACAGTGGATGTGGACGTGGTTGCGGAGGTGTCGACGGTTCGGGCGGGAGATGGGTATTCAGACTCCTCTTGTTCTTCCCTCCTCTTCCATCATCCTCGTCCTCTCCCTCCGCCTCCCACTGCTCGCCCCTTCACCTCACAGACCATCGCCATCCACTTCCTATCGTGCTTTGCCTCCTCCTCCTCCGCAGACTCCTGATCATGATCCAGTGAAAGCTCTGAATCAAGGACCAATTTGGGCTCAAGAGGGGCTCTGGAATATCGGGCCGCTCCGAAGGCCTGGGTTCGGGATCCTGTCCGTGTCCCAGGCTCGCCGCGGCAAGAAACGCCCTCGCGTTCCTTGTTCAGCGTTCCCTGCGGTAGCACGATGACTGTACCCCCTCCCTGCTTCCCTCCTGGCCTCCCTGATCGTAGCCTCCGCTCTTCTCCCCCCAGGCTGCTGGTGCTCTGTTGCTCCAGCTCGTGGGCACAGCTGGGCTCCGCGATCTCGTCGGTGGCCCTCCTGCCGTCCTCTCCGGACGCCCGGGGTCCTCGGACGGCCTCCCGGGGCCCTCCGAGGACCTCCGCGGTCGTCCGAGAGCCCTCCGAGCTCCTCGGAGGACCCCCCGAGGACCTCCGAGGCGCTCCTCGACAGAATGCCTCCGCGGTCCTCTGAGGCGCTCCCGGGGCCTCGGGCTCGCCTCGGGCTCTCTCCCTCCGAGCTCAGGGGGCCTCCGACACGTCCTCGGGCGGGGGTCCTCCGCGGCCCAGGCCCGCGGCCGTGCCGACGGCCTGGCTGCCCGCACGGCCCGCGAGTCACACGCCGCCCCGCCGCAGGCCGCCGAGTCGTCGTGGCAGGCGGACGTGGTGGCCATCAACGTGGTGCGGGCCGCGGTGCTGCGCCAGGCCGGGCGGGCCCTCGGAGCCCGTGGCCGCCTGCTGGTGGGGGTCCGTGTCGTGCCGCCAGCGCGGGGGCGATGCCAGCGGGGGCGTGCGAGGTGGAGCGCCGCCGGTGGCGCCGAGGCGACGAGCAGTGGAGGATCTGCGCTGTCACAAGGCGGCGGTCGTGCTGGGTCAGACGGTCCATGCTGTGTCAGGGTCCGGTGCCGAAGTCGTCACGGCACGGGTTTGCCGCAGATGACGCGCGGACACGGTAGCTTGACGTGCAGGTTGGCCTCTCGAGCCTCCTCCGGCAACCTCGGAGCCCGTGGCGGCCCTCGGTCGCACCGCGCTCCATGGACCGAAAGTACATGTGTGGACCAGCACACGTTCACGCGCTAAGGCTGTCTCCGAGGGGCCCGCCTGTCCAGATCGTGGCAGCCGCCTGGGAGTCTGCCGCCCAGTAGTCGCAGGGTGGAGCACGTGCAGGAGGCGCAGGAGGAAATGGAGGAGGAGGAGGAGGAGGAGGGGGAGGAAGAACGGGGAGAACGCGGTGGAGGAAGAGCAGGAGGAGGAGCAGGAAGAGGAGGAGGAGGAGGAGGAGGAGGAGAAGGAGCTGGAGGAGGAGGGAGGAGGACCAGGAAGAGACGACAGAAACGACTGACGATGATGATGAGGATAAGGATGAGGATGAGGATGACGATGACGATGAGGACGAGGATGAGGACGAGGATGAGGATGAGGATGAGGATGAGGATGTTGATGTTGATGATGATGATGGTGATGATGCTGATGATCATATGGATGATGATGGTGATTATGATGATGATAATGGTGAGGATGATGCTGTTGATGCTGATGCTGATGATGATACAAGCTTATGCTGCATCTGATGGTGATGCTGCTTCGTAAGAATATTTTGAACATGATGGTGGTGGTGGTGGTGATGACGATGACGATTATGATGACGATGATGATGATGATGATGATGATGATGATGATGATGCCGATGTCGATGATGATGTTGATGATGATGACGATGACGATGACAATGGCCATGACGATGACATCTATGATGGTGAAGATGATGCTGATGCTGCTGCTGATGATGATTATGATGGTGATCATGCTGATGCTGATGTTGATGATGTTGATGATGATGCTACTGATGATGATGATGATGATGATGATGATGATGATGATGATGATGATGATGATGATGATGCTACTGATGATGATGATGATGGTGATGCTGCTGATGATGATGATGATGCTAATACTGATGGTGATGGTGGCGATGATCGTGATGGTGATGATGACGGTGACGGTGATGGTGATGTTGGTGGTGATGATGATGATGACGATGATGGTGACGAGGTTGGTGATGATGGTGATTCTGATGATGATGCTGATGATGACGAGGATGACGATCCTCATCATGCTGCTGATGATAATGCTGATGATGCTGATGCTAATGGTGATACTGATGACGACGATGATGCTGTTGATGATGTTGCTGATGATGGTACTGGTGATGATGCTGGTGATGTTGTTGATGATGCTGATGATGGTGATGAGGATGAAGAGGATGACCATGATGCTGATGATGTGGGTAATGAGGAGGAGGAGGAGAAGGGGGATGAGGATGAAGATGAGGATGAGGAGGAGGAGGAGGAGGAGGAACCAAGGGTGGTGGTGGTGGCGATGGTGATGGTGATGGTGATGATGTTGATGATGATGATGATGATGATGATGGTTGTGGTTGTGGTGATTATGAAGCTGATGATGATGATGATGTTGGTGATGATGATGCTCACGATGATGATGATGATGATGATGATGATGATGATGATGATGATGATGATGATGATGATGATGATGATGATGATGATGATGATGAGAAGGAGGAGGAGGATGAGGATGAGGATGAGGATGAGGATGATGATGATGATGAGGATGAGGAGGAGGAGGAGGAGGAGGAGGTGGGGCAGAAGGGCAGGCGGGGAGGCGCAAGCCGCAGTCGACCTGGGCGCAGGTCACGCACGCTGGCTCTCCTCGCCGTGGCGGCCCAACGGCTCCGAGGGCGACGTGCCCCTCTCCCGGGGCAGGGGTCCCCAGTCCCCCTTCCGCTGCTCGACGGCTCCGGGGCCCGACGGCAGGCCCCACATGGACCTGAGGGCGCCAGAGGCCTCCAGGTCGCCTCTGCTCCTCCTCCTCCTGCTCCTGCTCCTTCTCCTGCTCCTCCTCCTATCCTGCTCCGCCTTCCGCTCCTCCTCCTCCCGCTCCTCCTCCTCCTCCTCCTCCTCCTCGTCCTCCTCCTCCTCCTCCTCCTCCTCGTCCTCCTCCTCCTCCACCGCTTCCACCCCGTCCTCCCCGTTCTTTTTCTTCCTCCTCCTCCTCCTCCTGCTCCTCCTCCTCCTCCTCCTCTTCCTCCATTCCTTTGCCTTGCACATAACTTCTCCCTGTCGCACCC